GGGAACTCTTTGAGTGCAGGAATTGTTTCAATAGACCTCCGGTCTGGAGGATGCCTCTGTGATGCTTGGAGGAGGAGAACCAGGGAAACTGATGGCTACTGGAGGTGCCTGGAATAGTCTAGTTACCAGAGGTGAAGTGAGTAACTGTGATTATTTTGTTACGATGGCACCTGAAAGTGGGTGGCATGTTTTAGGCAGCAAGTGAACATTTTGTTTCTGAAGTTAATGTGGTGGAAGCAGAAAAAAATGGGCAAGTGTAAGGATTTGAGTGACTTTGACAAGGGCCAAATTGTAATGGCTGGATGACTGGGTCAGAGCAACTTCAAAACTGCAGCTCTTGTGGGATGTTCCTAGTCTGCAGTGGTCAGAACCTACCAAAAGTGGTCCAAGGAAGGAAAACTGGTGAACCGGCGACAGGGTCATGGATGCCTAGACTAATTGATGCACGTGGGTAGCGACAGCTGTCCTGTGTAGTCCAATCCAATAGAAGAGCTACTGTAGCTGAAACTGCTAAAAAAAGTTAATAACGGTTCCCACAATAAGATGTCTGAACTAACAGTGCAACCCAGTTTGCTGCATATGGGGCTGTGTAGCCAAAGACAGGTCAGGGTGCCCATGCTGACCGGTGTCCACCGCCAAAAACACCTACAATGGGCATGTGAGCATCAGTACTGGACTACAGAGCAATGGAAGAAGGTGGCTTGGTCTGATAACATTTTCTTTTACATCATGTTGATGGCCAGGTACATGTGCATTGCACAGAATGCATTATGGGAAAAAGGCAAGCCAGAGGAGGCAGTGTGATGCTTTGAGAAATGTTCTGCTGGGAAACCTTGGGTCTTGCCATTCATATGGATGCTACTTTTATACAAACCACCTACCTGGCCTTATGTCAAGTTAATCAAGTGATGTCAAGTTAATGTCAGAACACGTGATCTGCAAACTTTTACAGAGACTGTGCCTCAGAAAGCCATCACCATGATCATGAGGCAGCCACTATTCTTAGAAGAAGACATCTGGAGTACAGTGACCTCCATATTCTTACCGCACAAGTTTCCTTTAACCCTTTTGCTGCCAACAACATCAGTGGCAGTAGGCACGTTTAAACAGACTAAAGCCGCCGGGACTTGGCTTTACAATAAAAGTGATCCTTCCGGCTCAACTGCCGCCAGATCGCTTCCACGGGCCGGTAAAGTGCCCGCACCCCGCCTTCCCCCTGGGCTCCAATGCTCCTTTTGTGGTCTCCTCCCCGTACCATGGGACCAGGAGCTACACGTATTGCATCCCTTCCTGCCCCATGGCTGTCATTGCTAGGCTCCTGAAGCCAAGTAATAAGCTATTGAAGTGCGATCTGCACTTCAATAGCTTATTTAGAGTGGAAAGGTGACACTAGGGGTCTTTTGGATGCATAGTGGTCTCCTCCTCCAGGTCCAAAGATCCTGATGAAGGCAGGGGTGTGTTCCAAATGCAGTGGGCTTGTGTGCAAGATCATAAGTTGAGTTTCCTTCCTTATGCGCACCACAGCAAAAGGTTGGCATGGTTTGCATTGTATATTGTTGTCAGGGTCCACAATAATAACCACCAATGTGTGTCAGTGACCACAATAATATCCCCCAACGTGTGTCAGTGACTGCAATAATAACCCTCAGCGTGCATCTGTGACTGCAATAATAACCCCCAGCGTGTGTCAGTGACTGCAATAATAACCCCCAGTGTGTGTCAGTGACTGCAATAATAACCCCCAGCATGTGTCAGTGACTGCAATAATAACCCCTAGCGTGTGTCAGTGACTGCAATAATAACCCTCAGCGTGTGTCAGTGACTGCAATAATAACCCCCAGCGTGTGTCAGTGACTGCAATAATAACCCCCAGCGTGTGTCAGTGACTGCAATAATAACCCCCAGCGTGTGTCAGTGACTGCAATAATAACCCCCAGCGTGTGTCAGTGACTGCAATAATAACCCCTAGCGTGTGTCAGTGACTGCAATAATAACCCTCAGCGTGAGTCAGTGACTGCAATAATAACCCCCAGCGTGTGTCAGTGACTGCAATAATAACCCTCAGCGTGAGTCAGTGACTGCAATAATAACCCCCAGCGTGTGTCAGTGACTGCAATAAACAGCGTGTGTCAGTGACTGCAATAATAACCCCCAGCGTGTGTCAGTGACTGCAATAAACAGCGTGTGTCAGTGACTGCAGTAATAACCCCCAGCGTGTGTCAGTGACTGCAATAAACAGCGTGTGTCAGTGACTGCAATAATAACCCCCAGCGTGTGTCAGTGACTGCAATAATAACCCCCAGCGTGTGTCAGTGACTGCAATAATAACCCCTAGCGTGTGTCAGTGACTGCAATGATAACACCCAGCATGTGTCAGTGGCCGCAATAGTAACTCCTAGCATTGTGTCAGTGGCAGCAATTTTTCAGGACCCTTGTGTTAGCATCTGTTGAAAAACGTATTGCAACACAAGATTTTTACCTACCTCCTTGTAAGCTTCTTTAGAATGTACACTAAGCTGTGTAGGTGCAGGTCAGCGTACAGTACAGGGGAAACTCGAATAATTAGAATATCGTGCAAAGTTCATTTATTTCACTAATGCAACTTAAAAGGTTAAACTAATATTTGAGATGGACTCATTACATGCAAAGCAAGATAGTTCAAGCCGTGATTTGTCATAATTGTGATGATTATGGCTAACAGCTCATGAAAACCCCAAGAGCCCCAAATCCACAACCTCAAAAAAGTAGATTATTACATGCAATCAATAAAACAAGGATTGTACATAGAACAATATCGGACCTCTGAAAAGTACAAGCATGCATATGTACTCAGTACTTGGTTTGGGCCCCTTTTGCAGCACTTACTGCAATTACTTTTGCACGATATTCTAATTATTCGAGTTTCACCTGTATGTTCTTGGAAAATCTAATTGCTGGAATGAGTTAAAGTCTCAAAAGTTAAGTAGTTGACAGGACTATGACCACCCCACCTGAAAAAGAATATTTAAGATAAAGTTGCCCTTTAATGTGGAACTTTAGGCAAAAGAAAATGATTGTAGATAAAATGAGTAAGATTTAGAGTTTGAGTTTTTATTCATGCCTCTATACTCATTGGGGTGATTGTGACAGTGGTCATCAAGTTAAGTCATCAAGTAAATTTCCTCCAACATATTCCCTGCCTTTGACTATGAGGTTCCGGTATCTACAGCTACAACACGCACATAGAGCCCAGTTCCCTGGTCCGATAAGGGTTGACTCAGAACGGATTGAGCGATTCCTTAGGTCAAAAGGGGATACAAAAGCCTCTGTCCTCCTTATACCTTCGGTTGGCATGTGAGGGGGTACCCAGCTGAAACCTCTCTATTTTGTCATTGTCTTACTGTGATTGTTTTATGTATGAAAATTCAATCAAAACTTTACCTGTTAAAAAAAAAAAAATTCCTCCAACAACAAAACACATTTTTCATAGGGTGAGGGAAGGTAAGAACCAATGTTTTTTTATTGCTCTATGCAGAGATTTCCTCTCACTTCCTGTTTTAGTGGCAGGTATTTCTGGCACAGAAATTGAGGGAAAGCATCCCCAACAAATAAATAGACAGTGTTCTGTTTCAAAGAAAGATCTTTTGTTCAACTTTCTTTTTATATTCTTTATTTGTAAGCATAAGGGCATGATACAGAAGACAGATATCCAGTCGCCCGAAGGCTGCACATATGCATATAACAGCAACAGGATTAACCAAGCTAGCATAGCCGTTACCGAACTCGTGCATTCTCAGCCATCTTACACCTCGGATCTGCCCATCACTCCGAACCACAACCCTTAAGACATTTTGTATATTCAGAACACATATACATATATGAGTAACGAAGAAACAAAAGACCAGATAGACACAAGACACAACACAACAGAGGTGACAAAATGCTTGACTCGAGACTCTGGCAAGCGGCTGCCCGCCCTCCGGCACTCCCATAATTCCCAACACCCCCTGGGCCTCGACATTGACAGTGGTTCATTCCTGACAAAGCTGTGCGCATTCCGAGGAGTCCCTAAATTGGTACCTCCCCGCCCAGGTCACCACGAACTTGTGTGGGTACCCGCGCATCAGAGGAGGTCAGATCCTCTATCAATTTGATTTCCTCCATCCGACTCACCCACATTTCGTTCAACTTTCTATTAACTGATGGGGTCAAATCGATCAGTGATTTCGACCGTAGTGACAAAAAAAAAGTAAAAAGGAGCAGGATGAAATGAAATTGTAACAGTGAATGTGGTTTTTGTTCGGGAAACACCATCGATTCCAAAATCAAATGTAAAAATAAAACATTTTGTTTGACATTCATCAAGTCTCTGATGGCATTATCCAGGGGTAAATATAGATCTTTCATTGGTACAAAAAGATCTTTCCTTTGGAAATCTACAAGTGTATGGCCAGCTTTACTGTATTACAGGGTGGGCAGGTAGTGCCTAACTAAAAACTACACCAACTAGCACCAAACATGAGGGGTAACATACCAGAACAAAATAATCGGTTAATAGAAGTTCTAACATTTTCCTATGCAATTGGTGGAGGTGCCCTCCGCACACCTTTCAGCAGTCCCGGCCAACAATCAAATAAATGGTGCTCGAAGTAACTTCACGGATGGCACCGTGCAAAACACAAGATTGAAGAAAATAGGTCACCAGCACTCCATAAGTTAAAAAGAATGAGTCCTTTTAATGGACAATGATGTCACAGAAATCCATGTTGGATTTCTGTGACATCATTGTCCATTAAAAGGACTCATTCTTTTTAACTTATGGAGTGCTGGTGACCTATTTTCTTCTAACATTTTCCTACACTATCCTAAATTAAAAAAAGGTTTTGGAAGGAGTTCCTGTGTTGCACTCACTTTATAGTATAATGTAAAGTCTTGTACAAAATGTTTTACACAATAGGCTTGTGAATTGTTTAATGAGATACATACAAACATTTTGGGACATTTTAAACTGTAGAAAGATTTCAGAAAAAAATATACTGCACTCCTGCAATCTTCACCACAATATAAACACCAGAGATTCTTGTGGTTTTTAATGTCTCATCTGCGATGCCTATAAAAGAACATACATGTGTACACATTAAAATATAAATAAATAAAAGCAAATTACTTATTCTGCCAGCTGACAGTGTAAAATATGAAAATTGCTCTGACTGGGTAAATGCAAATCATTGTTAAGTCATTTCATTTATATGGCTTTTGGTCTGGACATAATGAGGTGTCTATGCTAAAAACAGTCATATAGGGAGATAAATTGCTTTAGGTGGCAAACATTTAGGTGTAATGACACTGTCACGGCCTAGCCAACCATGTGGCATGATTAAATAGATTCTTGGGACACTTAGGGGGTTATTCATAAAGCTGCCAAAGGCAGCCGAGTGAATAACCCAGCCAAAGTGAAGTGAGCCCAACAACTTTCGGCTATCACTCTGGCTCAGTATGGCTGATTTACAGTACATCAGCTGAAATCAGCCGTGCATCGGTAGCCTTCAGCTGCACTTCGGCTGAGCCGAAGCGCAGAAGAACTTCGACTCAGCTGATCCAACATCGGGATCGGCTGAGCCGAAGCTCCGGCAGCTCACTTGCTGCCGTTCACCCCTATTAACATAGGGGTTGAATGGCAGTGAGTGAATAGCCAAACGCCGCTGAGCAGCATTCGGCTTGGCTATTCTGCGTGGTACCGAGCAGAATAGAAAATCAATTAAAAGAGTTAAAAATAAAAAAAAGTTGAAAAAATATATTTAAAAAATAGTAAATAAATAGTCAAATTAAAAAATAAATCTAGATTTTTTAAAAAATTGGGCGGAGCTAGCAGTGACAGCTAGTTTTGCCCAACTGTTTCCTGTGGGCCGGCACCTGCTAGAGTCTTCTAGCAGGTCACGGCCAATGAATAACAACTGGGCGTAGCCGGCCGTGACATCACGGCCGGCTCTGACCAGTTGTTATTGTTTAATGACAGATCGGCATCCCCACGTCATTTGGGGCCCCTTTGCGGGGCTGAAGCATATGCCTTCGGCTCGGCTGAGCCACTCGGCTGCCTTCGGCTGCTGTACGGGCTATAGTGAATAGCCCATACAGCAGCACTTTGGTTCGACCAAAGCTAGCCGAAGGATATACCGAAGCTACAGCTGGATCCTTCAGCTCCTTCGTGAATAACCCCCTTAGTGTCCCTTCCACCCGAAACTCCAAGTTTGTCTGCCAATTCAGCAATACTGTGTATATGTGAAGAATAGTTTTTATAGCTAGAACTGTAAATGCACATGCCATGAAAAAGAGAGAACTCCTGGTTAGATTATTCCTCCCAAGGGCTCCTAAAATGTGATCAGAAGCTCATAGCTTAAGTTGGCCATACGCTGGTCGAATTTTAGGCAAGTCCTGCTGACTTGTAGTAAATTCGACCAGTGTGTCCATGGATGAAGGAGCTGGTCTGCATAATCTTGGCCAAACAGTGACCATTACACCCGCCACTGTCAGAATACAATACTGAACAAAAAAAAGAACTAACAGCATATGTTCTGATTATGTAAGCCGGCTGGCATCAACCCAACAAAGGGTAATAATCAATTTACATTTTGTTTTAATTTCTATTACATTTTTGTGTTTGGATTTAGATCTTGGATTTAGAACTTTTAGTTCACATTAGGGAAAACTGCCTTTACTTTCTGTCCTGACGAAAAACAGTAAGCAAATAGGAAATTCCTCAAAGTAAGAGGAAATCCAACCTGTGACAGTTGCCAGTGAATCAGGAAATCCTATTGATAGATTTGATAGATACTCCCTCTTCTTCTTTGCCAACAACTGTGAAGTGTCTGTGAAGGTTCTCATTTATCCAGGTCATGGTATATCTGTAAAAAATAAATCAAAGCAACTGGACTTGCTGTATTTTTCTTGAAGACATTTTGCTAGTCATCCCACTATCTTTCCCAAAAATTCTTCTGGAAAAGCTAGTCAGATGACCAGCGAACCCTCTTCAAGAAAAATATAGCAAGTCCTGTTGCTTTGATTTATTTTTTACAGATAGAACAACTGTAAAATCTAGGATTTCCTCTCATTTTCTGTCTTGGTGACCACGTTAATCAAATAGTGAGGGTGCTGCTCCTTAAAAGGGACACAAACCCCATTTAGGACATGCCAGAGATTGTTATCCTTCCCTACTGGAAATCATTTTTGGCTGGAGTCCTACACACGTGTAAGTGAATTATGGTGTTATAAACATGCTCAAAATGTATTTATGATTATTTGCAAATGATGGCTCTACTTCCTGGTTAGAAGTACTACATAAAATTATCTTTGTTGATCCTCTTTTTTTCACCTTAGGCCTACTAGTGTGTGATGGTAACCAGAAGGCATGGTCTCTAATCATGTGCAATGTACACAATCTCATGTGGTCTTGTGTAAGCTATATTTCCTGTGAGGTATTCAGGAACATCAGTTCCATATGCATGGCAAGAGAGAGAGAGAGAGAGAGAGAGAGAGAGATAGCATTTTAACTGAAATATAATGCGATTTGGAAATACTGACATATGCCCTATTTAAATAATGTGAAGTGTGAATGATAATGCTGGGTCTACTATATACCAATAATTACGAATGAAGGAAAGATAATCCTCTGGAGAAGCTGCACTCATCATTGTAGTATGGATTGTTGCCCTAAAAAAAAGCAAACAACAATACATGCATATTACTTATTTTATTATTTAAAATTAATTATTTTACTAATAAAATAGTAGATGTTGAATAGACTTTGTATTCATTTGACTTATTCTGCAACTGCTGCCTAAGGCCAGATCACCAACAGATAAAAGAACTCCGGGTAAAACTTTTACTAACCCCTTCATGACTGAGCTAGTTTTCAGGTTCTGTTCATAAATGACTGACACACTTTTTACATTTTTGCTGTGTGATTCTTCCACGGCTGTAATATACTTTCTTGCTAAATGTACCCACACATATTAGGGCTATATAATTATATAAAACATGTATCTAAAGCCTCACTTACTTTGAATAAAATATAAAAAAAACGAGGAAAAAAAACTTAAAGAAAAC